AGCTATATGTCTATGCTACACAATTTGAATAAGGATATGTCCTTTTAAAGCTTTTTAAACATCACCGTGTTTATCTTTTCATAATTTTTCAGTGAGAAAGTTATTTGGATGACTAAATTTTTAGGTGAATATTCGTGGATTTCAACTATATGTCTATGCTACACAATTTGAATAAGGATATGTCCTTTTAAAGCTTTTTAAACATCATCGTGTTTATCTTTTCATAATTTTTCAGTGATATAGTTCATTAGTGTTTCTTAACTTGTGTTCATCATCATATGAAGCTAGTGAATGGAGCATAGATATTTTCAACAAGCCACATGGCCATCAGCATACTCCCCGGCAGCTTACTTTTCATTTTTAGTAATTTGAAAGAAATGACTATCATGATTTTCTTCAATTTTACAAAGTATTACGTGGGGATAAAATCCAGGAATGAAAAATTTCCAAAATATCTCAATTATCCAGGAAGGATAACTGTAACTTTGGTGAAGTTACAGATGTTGATGTTCAGATTTGACACCTTTCCTTTGTATTTCTTTTTGTAAAACAAATTCATTGCTGGTATATGTAAGTTACAATCTAAAGAAATGTGATTTTCAGGTATTTGCAAGCATTTTTATGCATGCATTGTGTAAAATCACATTGCATATCAGTGTAAGGAATTTGTGTCCTTTTGAGAAGTGAAGGAAGAATTTACTTGTGTTATTACTAGTTTTGACCATGAAGACTTTACACTTTTCTTTAATTTACAGAACACTCATGTTCTGGTGCATGTTTTGGAGTGTATAAAAGTTTGTGTTTCCCATTTTAGCATGTGCTTTTGTTAACTTTTACATATTTAATTTCCTGAAATTCTACTAAATGGAGGTATTTAGAAGTGGGATCCCTGTGTTAATAAACAATAAGCATGTATAAAGCTTCTAGAAAATTCAAAACAGAACAGCTTTGTAATGTTCTTGGAAAAGGTGCTATAATACTTGCATGCTTAGGGTTTGGGTTTTGTTGAGTTCAAATGTTAAGTTTATTTTCCATTAAGCGTTTATCAATCTATACATTTTACTTGCAGGAGAAATTTTGCAATTCTATGTGATAAGAACACCCCCTGGTCGAGGAAATGTTACAGTTAACTGGAAAATTATTGGGCAAAATCTAGAACTCAATTTTGCTAACTTTAGTGGACAACTCTTCTTTCCTGAGGTAATACCACAAAGAAAAGCTTTACCATGAATATCTAGGGGAAGAAAGTGTATTTTAAGGAAAATGGGGTAGGAAAATCAGCACCACTACCTTGTAGTTATTTATCTTTCTCTCTTCTCCTCACCTACTTGCTATAAATTCTTTTTTGATGATGAATTTAATTCTTTTCTCTTCCTTTCCACTGCCTGAATATTATGCCAAGCCCTTATTACAGTGGCTTTCTAATAACTAGTGTCCCTGCAACACTGGCCTTCTTTTCCCTGCTCCGGTTTTCCCTATTCACCACTGTTGTAGAAATCTCTCCAACGTTTTGCTCTGTCTGTGATTTTCAATAGCCCTACATTGCTCATCGAGTAAGATTTACATTCATTAGCTCAGCATTCAGGATCTTCCACAATTAGCCCTCATCTCCTTTAAGTCTGGGTTCCCATGAATCCATGGTTTTTATTTATTTTTTTAAGCCACAGAACTCTTTGTTTAAATGAAAATATGTTTGGGTGCACAATTTATAAGGCCAATAAAAGCAGGAGACAGTTTGTGTTCAGAAACAATAGAGGGATGAATTTCTTTCTGTTTGACCTAGGGATCATTGAATAGAACAATATTTGTGCATTTGTTGGATGACAACATTCCCGAGGAGAAAGAAGTATACCAAGTCATTCTGTATAATATCATGACACAAGGTAATTTAGAACTCAATTTCAATTTTTTTGTACATTATTTTCAGAAAGAAAGAAGCAATAATTGCTATCTCTGTATTTAACAATTAGATACATACTAATTTTAAAATATTACTTTAAATATTGTCTGTCCTATTGAAATGTTAGATCCAAAAAATACTAGCACAGTATGGGAATACTTATCTTTATAGAATCAAGAAAAAATCTCTGGAAAGT